ATTTCCCAGCACTCTCAAAAAAAGCCTTACTCTCTAAATATTCTTGAAAGTCTCTGGTAATAGAAAATTAGTTAATTTTACCTGTTCAGCCAGTTGACACAAATCCAAGATTGAGTAATAAAGCACGTATGTCAGAGGCATTTGAACCAGAGCACTTCCACCTTCAACTGGGGCTGGGTAAAATAAGGCTGAGACCTGTTGGGCTGCATTTCCAGAAGGCTAGGCATTCTTATGACAGAATGAGATAGAACATTGGCAGGACTGGTATCACAAGATACAGGTCAAAGATCCTGCCGATAAAACAGGATGCAGTAAAGAAGATGGCCAAAACCCAACAAATCCAAGATGGTGATGAAAAAGTGACCTCTGGTCACCCTCACTGGTCATTATATGTGAATTATAATGCATTAGCATGCCAAAAGACACTCCTACCAGGACCATGACAGTTTACAGGTGCCATGGCAACATCTGGAAGTTACCCTATATGATCTGAAAAGGGAAGGACCCTCAGTTCTGGGAACTGCCTGCCCCTTCCCCAGAAAACTCATAAATAATTCACCCCTTGTTTAACATATAATCAAAAATCAACTGTACGTCTACTCAGTCGAGCAGCCCATGCCACTGCTCTGCCTCTGGAGTAGCCATTCTTTGGTTTCTTTACTTCTCTAACAAACTTGCTTTCACTTTACGGACTTGCCCTGAATCCTTTCTTGCACGAGGTCCAAGAATCCTCTCTTGGGGTCTAGATTAGGACCCCTTTCCAGTAACAGACAGTCTCATCAATAAACAATGTAGATAGATATAAACAGAAGAGGCTCAAATGAAAGCTCTCTTGGCCTTCATTATGAAGTAAGAAAACAAGGATGAATGGGGACCCCACCAAACTCATGACAAGGTAGGGAGGGTCTGTTCTTTCTTTCCCCCACCTACTTACCTATCACCTACCTACCAACCTACCTCTTGTATACGCAGGTCAAGCACATCTAGAGGCCAGCAGCCCCACTTGGCAGGGGCATCTATAATAGATGCTGAGATGCCAGGTATGTCGAAAATCTCACTGTTTGTCTCTCTCCCTCCCCACCTTCTGGGTCAGAGCTAACTTCCTGTAACTTGAGACTTTAAACCCTGTTAAATGCTAAATACTGCCGAGAAAAGTGATGTTATTTTTCAGAAACAGACATTTGAAGCATAATTAAGGCCAGATATCTCCCTTGGAATAGGTTTTAGCTGGGCGAGGAGGAGGGAGGCGCGCGCACTGGGGGTGCCTGAGACAAGTTGGGAGACTGGATCTGCGAGGCAGGAGTCGCAGGAGCAGTGCTCAGCTTCCACACTGCCTCCTTCTCTGCATTTCTGCTTCTAAGGGTGGGCCCCTGCAGGTCTTGCCCACATGTGTTTTCTAAGTTCTCTTGTTTTTGTAATAAAAAGCAGAGAAAACTTCTGCCCATAGAATACCACTCTGACGCAGAATGATATTTTGGTTGGCAGAGACTTTTGCAGACACCAACCAGACACAGCCAACTGGTTCGCCAGGTCACCCTTTGAGGCTCCCATACTCAACGGCAAGGCTCCCAGCAAGCATTTTGATGTAAGGGAATAGTGAGATTGTCTATTTGCATCTTCAAATACAATTAATAAATTATTCAATAGAGACAAGGCATCGAACCTACTCAAAATATAATCTGACCTAAGATTTTCAGAGTGATATATCTTTAAAGGCAAATGAAATTTAAACACAAAATCTCTTGGGAGATTTTATACAAAATAATCATCAATACAAGAATAAGTATCACCCTTTTGCAACCATCACAGCAACACTGATTCAGGCAAGAATCATGGAAAGAATCTAAAACCATTAGGTAAAAGTTTGATGATGATAGTTTCATGGTCTCAGATTATCACCTCACAATATATACATATATATTCACTACAAAGAAGAAATCGTAACTTCTCAAAGAAAACCTGGCAGATACCACCTTAACTGAATGACCGAAATTAATATCACTAATAATGAAACAAATGGACATCACGGGCCCCCTGATGTAATGCACTGTGGAGCAAAAAAAATCAAAAAACAAAACCAAATAAATGCTAAACAAACACTTCACCAAACAACTAGCTTACACTCTGAAAAATGTCATTATTGTCAAAGATAAAAGAAGGCTAAGAAACCCTTTCAGATTAAATGTGACAAAAGACATGACACCAACATGCCGTGAGTGATTTTTTTTTTTTTTTTTCTAAAAAGTGCTGGATTGGAAAAACAGTGCTATAAGAGACATTATTGCAACGATTAGAAAAACAAATAGGGCCAGGCACAGTGGTTCATCCCTGTAATCCCAGCACTCTGAGAGGCCAGGCGGGCACGCCATTTGAGGTCAGGAGTTCGAGACCAGTCTGACCAACATGGTGAAACACCTTCTCTACTAAAATACAAAAAAAAGTTAGCCAGGTGTGGTGGCGGCTGCTTGTAATCTCAGCTACTCAAAGAGGCTGAGGCAGAATAGCTTGAACCCAAGAGGTGGAGGTTGCAGTGAGCCGACATGACGCCAGTGCACTCCAGCCTGGGTGACAGAGCGATACTCCCTCTCAAAAAACAAAAAACAAAAAAAAAAAAAAGAAAAGAAAAAGAAAAACTTGAATAGAAACTGTATATTAGAAAAAGTTATTAAGTTTCCTGTATTTGGTCATTATACTATATTATTCTGTAACAGAATGTTGTCCTTAGGAAATATTTGCTTAAGCATTTAGGGGTGACAGTCGTGATGTCTACCATTTATTCTCAAACAGGCCAGCAGTAATAATAATTAGTGGTGGTGGTGGTGGTGGGGTGTGTGTGTGTGTGTGTGTGCGTGAGAGAGAGAGAGAGAGAGAGACAGAGAGAAAGCTCAGGAGTGTGCAAATGTCAACAACTGGTGGCCTACGTGAAGATTACATGAACATTCACTGCACAATTCTCAATCCTTGAAACTTTACTGTAAGTTTAAATTTATTTTATTACTTTTTTCTTTTGAGATGGGGTCTTGTTCTGTCACCCAAGCATGATCACAGCTCACTGCAACCTTAACTTCCTGGGCTCAGGGGACCCACCTGCCTCAGCCTCCCGAGTAGCTGGGACTACAGGTGGGCACCACCACACTTGGCTAATTTTGGGGGGCTGGGGGCAGGGGCGTGGTGTGGATCAGAGACGGTCTTACTATGTTGCCCAGGCTGATCTCAAACTCCTGGCCTCAAGTGATCCTCCCACTTCAGCCTCCCAAAGTGCTGGAATTACAGGCCTGAGCCACTGCACCCAGCCATAAAAATTTTTAAAAGACAGTGTTTTTAAGTTAAAAGCAAAGGGTAGCATAGTTTTCAAAAGCCATTAACAGAGAAATAAAGGACAAAATGTTTTTAAACTTTCAAATTGTTTAGAAGCACATTAAGTTTGAACCACTTAAAATTACAGAGGCAAGATGACAATATTACAAAAGAGGACAGTGGGTGTGTGTTTGAATTTTTTCGTTAACCTCAGAGGAGGCCATCAGTCTCTCTCGGCCCCAAGAGCCATGCCACATTTTACTAAGTAAAGGATATAAACACGGAAAGAATGACTCTCCACAATTGAGGGGAAGAAGTACTACCCAGCCTAACTAAGGTTAGTACAAATTTGGTGAGTCACTTCCTCTTAGGAGGAAGAGCAAACATTTCTTGTTTCCTGAAGGATTCAGAGATTCTGAGGGAACACCTGAGCTCTCAGCCTGAATCATGCTACATAAGTAATAAACTAGGGCAGGAAAAGCTACAGCCCATTCACTCGATGCTTCTACCCCTACCACAGTACCTCCAAGTTCAAAGTCAATGTCAACTTGAGTCTTTTTTGTCTATTTCAGCCTCCACATTGCCAGGTTCCTGGGAAGAGGCAAGGTAAGCAAAACAAAAAAAAGTTGATGGATGTGCACAGTTATCCTCGCACCATGAGTGGGCAGTGGCCTTGGTTTGCTGTGGGACATCACCCGCAACGTTCCTCAGTCCAGAACCAAACCCACAAAGCCTCTTAAGTTTAGAATTATAGCTTTCTGGCAAAGCAGCCCTCCTCCCTGAACCGCCTGTGCCAGCAGCACACACACGTGGATGGATTAGGCAAAGCTGTGCTCTAAAGCACACACACGCTCTCCCCAACGTGTGCTTTGCATTCCAGAAATACTTGATGCCTAAACCACTTCTATGCCTCCCTTGGCATGAACGTACAAGTGGCTCCATGCCAAAGGAAGCGTCTGTTTAGAGATGCGGACTTTCTTTAAATTTAACATGGAAGATCACAAATAGAACATTCTAGCATAATGATGATGCAATAAAGTAGAAAAAGAAAAGGTTTTAGAAAAAAGATTCTCTTTGTTTTTTGTCTTATTTATGTTGCCTAAAAGAAATACTGAAAACATAACATGAAACATAAAATTAGCTTCTATGAAAGCAGAAATTACAGGGCCCAAGTTGGGTCAAGGAAGCAAAAACATTTCCTTTAACAGGAAAGGCTAGGGATCATTTGCCATTTTTTTACACACACGTTCATTGCTGTTTTAAGGTCACCTACCAAAATGAGGTGCAGAAGATGGGTTTTTAATCATTGGTTTATTCTGGAACATAGTACATTTTATTTTTGTATCTTGCTTCTTGATAACTTTTATCCTATATTAAAAATTAATGTAAAAGATGAAAATCCATCTTGGTTAATGCACCTATCCTTTCCCTTTCTCTTTTATTTCCGGAGATTTATTTAGGGTGTATTCACAATAGGCAGTGTAAAATCAGTAACTCTTCACAAAATCCTTAGACATCACCAACTGCATTACAAAACACGTTCTTAGCCACCTAGATACATACACATGCATGCAACATGTTAAGGAAAATGACATCCAAGTCCATAGTACATACGCACACGATCGCCTGTTTGATTTCCGTCAGCATGGACCTAAAAGACACCTTCTTGGAAAGTGATCCTGGGCAGAGGGAGAAAGACTTACTTTCTTTCCACTTCTGGTGTTGACACGGCGCTACAGAAACCAAGCGACTCCTACGAGAGAAGATTCGTATAGTCAGTGTGGTCAGAGCAGCAGGCTTCATCTGATTTGTACAGAGTGTCACTTAAAACAAAAAAAAAAAGGCAGAAGCAAAACTAGATGATTAAAGTCATCGTGCTTACTTCGATCTGGGACCGCAGCTGAAGTGACGTGGGGCTAGCGTCGGGTTTCTCCTAAAACAGAACAGATGCCGGTTTAACGGGACTTCCAAACATGTCACACACGAGAAAGACAAATAGACATGTAAGAAGAGAGGGGAGGATTCGGGAAAGGTTAGGGTATAGAGTGGGAGGAGATGGCAGAGATAAGAAGATTTTCTGGGAAAACTAAATACTTTTAAAATGAGAGCTCTGGTCCCCTAAGATTGAACTATTTTCCAAACTTTGCTGCCAGACTCTGCTGACAATTTCATTGCAGAAGAAAAAAAAAGCACAATTTCAGTCAAGGGGACTGATAGTTCATGGTGAAATAATTCTGTGGATATACTTAGTTGGTCACTAGGACACTGAATTTACTGCCACCCACTTGAGTTTAGCTGTTTTCTAAAGACACTAGAGTTCCAATCCAATTTTTTTTTTTTTTTTTTTTTTTTTTGAGACGGAGTCTAGCTCTGTCACCAGGCTGGACGCTGGAGTGCAGTGGCGCGACCTCAGCTCACTGCAACCTCCGCCTTCTGGGTTCAAACGATTCTCCTGCCTTAGCTTCCCGAGTAGCTGGGATTACAGGCAGGCGCCACCATGCTCAGCTCATTTTTGTATTTTTAGTAGAGACGGGATTTCACCATGTTAGCCAGGATGGTCTCGATCTCTTGACCTTGTGATCTGCCCGCCTCGGCTTCCCAAAGTGCTGGGATTACAGGCATGAGCCACCGCACCCAGCCCCAATCCAATTTTAAAGTTCTAAACGTATTCAGAGTACTTAGTAGCTTAGGAGAAGTTGTTAATGTCTTTAGGAAGTTGGGAAGCTAACTGAATGTTATCTTGCAGCCTTAAAAATCACTATACTTCCCTAACACAAATGAACTGACCTATCTGGAAATTTAAAAACAAACACTCTTGGTATTGATTTGATAAATGAAATATAAATACTTGATATTAAGATGCACTGAGGCTGGCACAGTGACTCACGCCTGTAATCCCAACACTTTGGGAGGCTGAGGTAGGTGGATCACGAGGTCAGGAGATCGAGACCATTCTGGTCAACATGGTGAAACCCCGTCTCTACTAAAAATACAAAAAAAAAAAAAAAAATCAGCCAGGTGTGGTGGCATGTGCCTGTAGTCCCAGCTACTCGGGAGGCTGAGACAGAAGAATGGCGTGAACCCAGGAGGCAGAGCTTGCAGTGAGCACAGATCACTCCACTGCACTCCAGCCTGGGTAACAGAAAGAGACTCCGTCTCAAAAACAAAAAAAAAAAAGAATATCATTAAATCGTGAGAGGCAGAAGAATCAAAGAATATTATAGATAAAACCATATACTATAATGCCCTCATTTCATAGTTCAAGGAGGCTGCATCTCCTTTGAAAGTAAGATAATGAAGAGAGATAAATTACCTGCGATAAAACTAATTATACAAATTATGCATTTTCACATGCATCTAATTGTTCAATTGTCCTTTTCACCATTAACACAATTATAAAACAACACCAATACTGAAAAACTTTTGTTGAAGTATAAAAGTAGCAATAAAGTATGAAAATAAGTATAACTCAGAGCAAAGTTATACTTTTAAACAAGGAACAGGAATCCAGTATGAATATAGAGTATCAAAATGAATGCGCTTTCATGCAGGATTGTGGAGGAGTGTTCCGAGAATCTGTTGCTCAACAACATGCATGTGGCTGATAATACTGCACCGCACACTTGGGGAAACTGTTGGGAGTGTGAATTTTACGTTATGTGGGTTCTTTTTTTTGTTTGTTTTGTTTTGCTTTTTTGCCACAATGAAAAAAAAAGAAAGAATGTGCTGGGATGAGTACATCTGAGAATGGGATGATTGTTGACAAGCAGCCAGAAAGAGAAATGGGATTTAATGGACAAGAATTTAATGAACTGGCAACTCACTCATCCCCTAATCTCAGGCCCTTGTTTGTTATAAAAAGATATCACAGTGGAGTAAAAGCTCCACAGAACTCTCATTAACATCCTCCTGGTTTTTACTGCCACTGTTGTTCATAACAGACATATTTCTGTACCAAATTTGATACACCATTCTACCAAAAAGTATATGGACAATATTCCAAGTGTGAATGGTAGGATGTCAGGCTCAGACACCGTTAACAAAGGGGATACATACTTTTGTACATTTCTGGTGCTTACACACCAACCACAATTTCCCAGGACCTAACCTTTCAGTCTCACATAGAGAAATTTACAAATTTAAACAGCAGGAGGTAAGCAAAAGTATCATCAGTGATTTTTTAATCCCAAATCTTCCTTTCTATTCAGGAGTTGGTACAAAGAACTCAGAGTGATGATGAAACAAAACTGTTAGTTCCTCTGAAATTTTCTCTGAAATTGCCCCGTTAACACCCAATTGCAGCCAATGACCTTCTAAAACCACCAGCAAAAGTGACTGGTTCAGTTCACCTCCACTCCTCCATTTTTACCTTTTCTTCAAGCTGTTCATTTCTACCTCACTAGTAATAGTCATGCTAGGAAACGATCTTCTTTTGTTATAACCATTTATCTGCATTTTTTGAATAGATTTTATTTGCTAAGTGCATCATTTGCCATGTCATATCACAAATGTAACGTATATGGTGTGTATGTATGTTGTGGTATGTATGTTACAAATGTAACATATATGGCAAAACGTACCTGTCCCTGCATATACAAAGTAGTTGCTTATTAACAACCGTATTAAATGTTTGATGATAAGGAAGCAAAATTTTAATCATTTCATCTTAGCATGTTCATTTGTTACTTAAAATAGGCATTTGATTCTTTTAGCTATTTAAACAATTTTTTTTTTTTTAAAGAAACAGGGTCTTGCTATGTTGCCCACGCTGGAGTGTAGTGGCTATTCACGGGCGTGATCATCACGCACTGCCACCTTATGCCCAGAGCTCAAGCCATTCCTCAGCCTCCCAGGTGGCTAGAACTATAGTTCATGACCATGCCTAGCTTGTTTAGCTACTTTTCAGAAAATTGATTGGGGCTATAGTTTGACATATAATGTTAAAATCATGGAGACAGGTAATGTTTTCATGCAGAACATTTGTTTTATCAAAGGCAGCTTACTGATGTTGAACAGGAGATCTTGTATAGTGATATTTCTAGTGACTTATTTTTTTCAAGACCAAGCAAGAGAATAATTTTTTCAGGATGTCTTATTAATTTTATCCCCCAAGGATAAGAGATTACAGTCATCATTTAGACGCATGTCTTACAGCAAACACATTCTAAAGTAAAAATATTGCACAACTGAGGAGAAGCTTGTAAAGTTATCCACTAAGTTAAGGACCTATGAATGCTTGGAGAGAGAAAAATGGAATAAACTATTGGCAAAATTCCATTATCATAACACTGATGAGTGTCACATGATGTCAATGACAAAAGTGCCGAAGAGTAATTACTATAATGTGCCATGTGCCATGCACCTGACTGCTCAGCCACAACCCCTTTATTCAGAGAACAGCTGATGGTTTACAATACAGCTCCTGATCTGGATGTCTTAATGTAGACAGAAATAGTAAACATTGTGAACCTCATCAAAACAGTCATTGAGTATATGTGTAAATATGTGTAACTGTTGGGCGTGTTGTAAAAAGAAAGGATCACTGAGAAATAAGACCCTTCTCTCCTCCCCCAACATACGCCAACTGTTTCAGTTACTACTGCCATGTAACAAATCATCCCAAATGTAATGGCATAAACCAACAAGCTTCTTATGATCTTCACAGGTTCTGTGAATATGAATTCAGAAAGACAACAGCAGAAAAGGCTTGCTCTGCTCCACAGTGTTCGGAGCCTCTGCTGGGAACAGGCAAAAGCTGGGGACGACTTGATGGGTGGGTCGTAATCAACTGGAAAGCTTGCTCACTCCCATGTCTGGAAGCCAATGCTAGGGCTGCATGGGTTGCTGAGCCTTCCTCACAGCAGGATGCTGGGTTGTAAGAGTAAGCATATGGAGAAAGGCAGGCAGCAGCTGTATTGCCCCTTTGGTATTTTGGGGTTTTTTATTTTTATTTTTTTATTTTTTGAGACAGCATCTCATTCTGTTGCCCAGGCTGGAATTCAGTGGCGAGGTCATGGCTCATTGCAGCCTTGACCTTCCAGGCTCAAAGGATCCTCCCACCTCAGCCTCCCAGGTAGCTGGGACTACAGGCATACGCCACCATGCCCGGCTAATTTTTTTGTACTTTGTGTAGAGATGGGGTTTCACCATGTTGCGCAGGCTGGTCTCGAACTCCTGGGCTCAAGCAATCTGCCCACCTTGGCCTCCCAAAGTGCTGAGATTTGTATTGCCTCCTATAACAGCCTCCTATGGTAAGATATCTGCCAGAGTCACAAGCCCTCCCAGGTGTTAGAGGGTTCACGGCCCCCTCTCTCAGCTGGGGGAGTGCCAAAGCCACACCATGAGAGCAACATGGATGGCAGACATCGCTGTGGCCAGCTTTGGGAATTACAGTCCACCATGCTGACTATCAAGGAAATGGGCCTGCTCATGAGTTTTCAAAATGAGGAATGGGGTGCAACCATTTACTCATGACAATATCCGGAAGGATTATCTTGTGGCTTTCACAACATTTACTCGAGTATATCTTGGCAACAGTCAGCCTGAATTATCACTTCAGGTCAAAATATTGCACTGTATTAGGCTGCAATGATCATGTCTCTCATTTCAAACCTATAATTATAGAAAATTTTAAATACACAAAAGTAAAGAGAAGAGGACAGTAAACTCCCCAATTCCTACTACCCAGCTCCAACAATCAGCAGTTCAGAGTTGACTTTGTTTCCTCTATACCTTCACTCTTACTTCATGTTCATCTCATTTTACTTTGAAGAAAATCTCAGACATCAAATCATGAAATATCACCATTTTTAAGTTAAGAATTAGCTATCAGAGTTCCTTAACTGTTGCTCAATCTTGAGCATGTGGCTCTATCACCAAGAATTTCACTCTTTCCTAGCACTGGAAGACTTTCTTTGATCATAAGGAAAAATC